TTACAAAATACATAGACAACTTTATTTTAACATGCTGTTTTACAGTCTTTAAAAGTTTGAATTTGAAGTGTAATTTGTAGAGACAGTGAGGCAAGATCTTCGAAATGGCTTAAAAAACAATTAGTTTTTAAAAAATTAATGCATTCAATTATTTTTAAGACTTTTTTGATAGACTTGTTGAAGAATCCAATACATCAGATATCGCATTATAAAATATTGTATCGTATCGCATCAAATTTTTTTGCTCAATACACAGCCCTAAACCATACCATGTTCTTATAGACAGTCTTATAAATTAAATCTGCATGGATTTGACAAAGTGAATGTCATTTCATTTCCAAGAACAATAAGACATGTAGAATGAGCTGTCCTCTCTTATTTGCTGAGATCCTGTGACCTTGTTCCCTTTGCATGCTAAACTTTATAAAAGGGATATGTAATTCCCCTTTAATCTTGCACATACCACCTTTCATCTGGCAGTAAATCAGTATCAAAGTTGTCTTTGAAGGTCAAACATCAAATGTCTTCATGTTGCCTTGAAATTCCTTTTTCCTCCTACTCTGCCAATCTGTACAGATTCAAACAGCAGTCTACCACTCCTTGTATCCTCAGAACCATCATCAAGGTTTTTCAAAATTTACCAAAAAGGGGATCATTCTCATAAATCAGCTACAATTGATAAACTACATCTAGCTTTGCCAGAGACAGAATATCAGGATATTATCTGCAGTCATATTGTAGTCAAATGCCAAAACATCATACAAACAAGCCTATAACTTCCTGAAAACCAGGGGCTTTAAACCCAGTGGTGCAAAGCATCAGTATAGTTATCTTCTCTCCCAGTACAAATATGTGGCATCAATAATAATACAAGCAACTAAATCAAATTGGACAGCTCAATGATAGTTATCTTCTTGTTTATATTGGTCATAAACTGTGTCTTACCACCCATAAAGACTGGCTTGAAGGCGAAGAGAAAATAAAATAAATGCATAGGTTTTTCATTTCTAGTAGCTAATAAATGTTGTAATTTGACTTCATTACAATTTGTGTGTAGAGGAAATTATAAGTGGGCGTGTGAAATATTTGACAAGGTTTGACTAAAAGAAAAGAAGAAACTTTCACTCAATTATAGAATTTATCAATCAAATTTATTTCTTGTCAGATCAGAAATGCACCAATTGCAATATGGAAATATTTTTATCAAGATGTGTAAATATGTTCATTCATTAATCAAGGACCCTCAGAGGTTTAAGCAAAAGTATATGAAGTCATTGTAGTTCAACAATTCAGTAACTTAAAATGTCAAAAAATTGTGCAAAATGGTCACTTTCCTCTGTGTTTGAGTCCTAGCAGAATGATAAAGCCCTCTACTATCACTGAAAAAAAAAATGGCCTGAAGATGCCACTACAGGCAAGCTTTGGATGCACAGACAAGTCAGTTCTACATTATGATTTATGTCTTTGGATATGACATTAATTTTTCCTGAGGGGTCTCTTATTCGAAAGCATGCAAAGTTGCATTGTTAGCATTTTGCATTGGAATCAATACTCACAGAATATTTCCTCTTAGAAGTTATCACCGGAGAGGGATGTGGTTCTCGGAATATCAATGAAAATGTCACCCTCTTCTACTGAGCCATTTTGTTCTCTTTATGTAACATTATCTAGCCTTCCTGTCTGCTATTAAACAGGGGACTTCTATAACACTAAATGTGTGACAATACCAGTATTTCTTTTTATATTTAGGAGGAAAATTGGTCAACAACAAGCACAAATTAGTATATCTTTGAAAGCATAATATGTGACATTCTCTGCTTTCAAGACAATGTGGTGAAAGAAATCATGTAATATTCTTGTAAAAGACCAGATGGTTAAATACTAGTTTCATATTACACAAACTAGACCTGCATAAGGGTAATTTGTTCAGTAATGGCATTTTTGTTCTGTTTGGAAAATACAACCTCTGATAAAAATTTCCCCCTCTTACTGAGGTACTTAAAAATCCTAAAAGAGAACCTTATAAACATTTCATTCAATCTATTCTTTATCCACCCTCCAATTTTAGACTAAATTACCTAGGAAAAAAAACAACCTGAGAGCATTATTCTTACTATAAATCGTCGTTTTTTTCATTTTCAAAACAAGCATTATGTAAAACCTTCAATTACCATTACATTTGCAGTAAGAATATAGTGATACTAGTATACATGCTATAAACTTTAAATATACATCACACATTTGAACATTATTTGCATGGGAAGAAAATTTAGCATTAAGTAAAAAGTGTATTTTTACCACCAAAATTTTATATTTAAAAATAAGATGACTTTTTTAGTAGGGATGATTACAAATGCGTTACAGTTCTTATTTATGAAGACTATTTGGTCAACGGAAGAGAAGGACGCAACTTTGTAATGATTAGACCAGCGAGAGAGAATATCTTTGGGAACAGTGGGAATGGACTCTGTAGTGATCGCGAGTCGTATATTATTTATGTTTGCAAATGCTTTCTTTGTGATAATTCTGAAAGTTAAGCATGTTAATTTCTCGATATTTACAACTCCACCCGTTATGCATAAATTATTCCACGTTTCCAACTGCCGTTGATGCCCTGGTATGCACAGCAAACTAAAAAGTGATTCCTTTAATATATGGTTGTTTCCACCCTATGCGCTTTTAAAATTTTTTTAATCTTCGATTATTTATAAATATTTATTCACTTTGAACAGTCTGATGAATCGGTAGCGGTATTTCTATGTATGTCCGATTTCGTTTCCCTATGCTAATTGAATAATCATAGAATAATTAATAGATCATAATTAAACAATGTTCATTGAAAACAAATAATGAAAGCCATCTCAAAAATTAGGGTCACAAGAGGTGACAATGGCTGTGTACAGTGTCCAGTGATTAGTTACTGTATATACACGAACACAGCCACAGGCGATAACGGGTATTAACTGGTGTAGGTGACGGTAATTACTGTTTAGACATGGACAATGCATATTTAAATCACATTTTTTGGTAAGTTTTTAATAAATATATGCACTTTGAAATATGAAAAAAATATACATCCGAGTAACCGAGTACCGATTTTAGTATTCGATACTCGGACATTCGAGCGAGTACCCGGTAAACCGGGTACTCGTTGACATCCCTACTTTTAGTGAACAATGATAAATAATAAATCTTGATTTATGCTACAAAGATAAAAAAAAATATTCATATTAAGGTAGCATCAAATAATTTCATTTTACTCACAATTTTCAAAAAATGATCAGCTTATCAGTCATTGTCTTTTCATGTTCAATTCAAACATCTTCAGACTATATTTTCTAATAAGAACATGAACAAAAGCAGCGAGACCTTTTTACTAAGCTTCTGTCCTCTTTCAGATTAATTTAAAACAAGAACTGAGATTGTGGAGTTTGGTCGAGTTTTTGACCTCTGTAACATGTAGACTTGCCAACAACAGCATCCAATTCCAAACTTACAATTTTCAGTGTACGTAAATAAAAACAAAAACAAGCCCAGTATATTAGTTTTGGCAAGCAAAATCAATCTAGTTTCCTCACAGGAGCATCAACCATGAGATAGAAATGTATTAGTTTCAAAGTGAAAACAATGATTAATACGCAGCTGGAGAACCAAGCCCAGTTCTCTCCCCTTCTGTTTCTGAAACTGTCAATTTAACAAGGGTTAATTACCAGTAATGTGTGGGCCTTCCAAGAAAACAAGTTAGAAATTGCCTATTCTCATTATCTCAATTCTAACCTTCCATGTTACAGACTGTTTCTTATGTTGAAGCCTGCAGATGCTAAAATTGAATTTACAGTAAACAAATTTCAAAGTCGTCTTTGCGGGAAGCCAGTGGTTGAAAAACATCAATACTCCCAATATACACATATTTTCAACTTGAAAGAATTTTCTAATCGATGTAAAAACTTGTAATTCATGTCTTTGATTTTTTTTTCTTCTTCAGATTATGAATGAATAAGAGATCAAAACTAATAACCCAAATCTACTGGAATTTTGATCAAATTCTGATATTCATACTTTGAAATGTGAATGGTTTTGCAGGATGAGCCTGATGAATATGAAACTTGCTCAGAGTTTATGTTTAGCAAGTGTCTTTAACACTTCTGAAAATTCTTTGTTGGCAGTAAATATTCCACTCCTAAGCCTTTGTATAATTCCAAGGAAGCTAAAAAGAGACACTTCAATTCAAAAATAAACCATAATAACTCAAATTCTAATGTTAATGTTTACAGCCATGATAGATTTATCTCTGTGGATTTATCTTCTGAATCTCAGTGCACAAACCATCTTTTTAAGAACTAAACAAGCTCCTTAAAATAATCAATCCCAAAACTTAAAAGTGCATACTAACACAAAAAAAAACAGAAAAAAAAACCTCATCTTAAATATTGATTAAAATGTAAATGAATATCAATGTATTATGATGTACATGCAATTTTCTCTCCGGTCATGTCCTTCGATCGTCAACCTCAAATTAATAAATACCACCATATTTCATTAAAGTTGAAATTAGGCATTGCTGTGCATACTTCAAATATTCTGTTCACCTGTGTGTCACAATGACAGCTTTATAAGAATTCAGAAGGGAATACGGGGAATAAAGTAGAGTTTATCATTTCATTAATTATGAATATGAATAGCTTAAACCTAATGATGATTAATGAAACTTTATATTAATCTGACATTCCTACCTCCAAAATATTTAAACATGTTTATCTTCGTGCACTCTACAATTTTCTGTGCACGGTTTGTGTGGGAAATCTGGACCACCTCTTAAATGCACCATTTCTATTACATGCCCCTCCCCTATTCCCTGATAAATACATGAAACATCCCTCAATACCTTTTCGGTTATCCTGGCTCTATTTGTTGAAGCAATTCTTTTACTCCCTTTCCAAATCTAAATTAGTGGTAATTTCCAATTACCCTGTTTTCTTTTTATTCAGATTCCCACTTACCAGATACCACATCCTGGGCCACTTTGGGTCATTGAATTTGTCATTAAAGCTGATGCTGCTTGAGTAGTATCTGTCACGTTTTACCCGTTTTTTAACTACTTGCTGTTCTAACCACTTTACCTGCAAAGAAATAAATAAAGCATAATGTTAGCGATTCAAACAACGTTCAACACCTGTAAAAAAAAAAATTCCCCTGAGCAGAAAATCATTATGCAAGTCTAAAATTTTGAAATGAATAAATATTTTTTTCATTTAATTTGATATAATTGATAAATTTTTTTTACCCAGAATTTTCCTTTTATATTTTTCATTTTTATATTTGTGACTTGTTTTTACTGAATGTTTCTTTGTACAGCAAACTCTGGGTATGTTGCCCTAATTTATTTCACAACCATTTCCATCCTTTTGAATTTTTTTTTTTTTTTTTTGTCTAACTCTTATACCTTTATTTCACCTATCTTTTTCTATATCTTAATTGTGACTTGTTTTATAACAAATATCAAGATATTTCACTGAAAATATTTTTTTTTATAATAAAAGAATCTCTTTCAAAAAAGAGAAAGTGTATTAGTATAAAGTTCACAGCTTTTCATGATTCTGTGTAACTGAAACAATTTTTACAGTAAGTTTATACACCCTGGCTATAACCTCGACCAAACGCAGGTGAATGTCTCTGTAAGAATCTTTGAGAAGCAGATGTTAGTGAAGAACGCGGACTGTTTATTGTAGTAAGGAGGCTATATCTATCAATGTTCCTGTTACTGTTACACAAACACAACCTCCTTCTGACAACATTCCTATCCCTCCTCCTCATCCCTCGCTTGTCATCAGGGACAGAGAGTTCTCTCAATACAAACATCAACTTCTCTTTTGTCAGAGAAATCTACACATCTAATCTCGGCAAAAATTTTCTTTTTTTAAAAATAAGAACCAAAATGACTAAACTTATGCACTATTTGTATGCAAAATTGGTTCAAAGAATTAAAAATATCCTCTCTAAATAGATTTCTACTTGATGAAGTTCAACTGAAAAAAGTGAACTCTTTCCATTTTTATGATCCCTAAACTTGTTGCATTACCATATCATTGGCAGATTTTCAGTAGTAACCAAACAGAAGTTTCTTCCCATTCCCATAGTCTGATAGAAAGACTATATTTCTACGGAATCATTCAGATATATATCTTGGGAAGTTTTTAGCAAACAAGTAGCAGGTAATTATTTGTGTTATTAGAATTTTTAGCCGGTCATCACAAAGATGTATCAAAAATTCTCTTCATGTTCCTAGTTGATTAAACAGCAAATGGAACATCACAAACTGAGGAGATGGTCTTCTCTCTAAATAGCTCGTCATTCCTCACCAAAGATAAGTGATATTGAACTTCTTTATCTTGTATATAAATAAATTGCCAAACTTTCTGGATCATTCATCCCATTTAACATTCTAAGAATGTCTGAAATCCTGAAAAAACAGATAGCCTTACTACTTCCTGTTTTCACAGACTAATGAGTAATCGTGACGAAAAAGTCTTACAATGGGGAAAAATTGTCTTAAAGAATACTTCTTGTACAATTAATTAAGTAGTAACACAGACTATACTGTATAATGATAAACAGATTCAATGCTGGTTAAACTGCATGATTAAATAACCCTGTCCCTGTACATATGCTGTACCTATTCTACTAAAAGATTTAGTATTGCATTGTTGGATATTTTCTGCAGAATAATCAGTTAAACAACTCCTTGATTTTTCAATGATAAAAAAGAATTAATATTTCAAGAGTGAGATCCTAATAAGGTCGAAGATTCTGAGAATCTTTGGAATTACTACAACTAGAATATTGAGTATGGTATGGGTCATGTAGGGGTCAGGAAGATTTAATGAGGTTTTGATGAAGGTTTATGTTGTGTTGGAGTTACTTAAGTAATGTTTTAGAGCTACTGGCATTAGATAATCAATTGCTGGAGCTATCTAATAGGATTCAGAAAGGATACATCGTAACATGTATATAGATGTTTTTCACAAGGGATAATATTTACCCATGTGCTATGTACACGGTCACAGATTTTTGAGGAAATTCGTAACAGGGTACTTTAAGACATACAATGGCAATCCAAAAGATCTGCATAATTTTCTATTGAACCAAAATTGGGATTCCAAGGAATAATGATCCTGTGGAATATGTTTACAGTATTAAAAAAACCCATTAATTAGAATGTTTACAGGCAGACAGATTACATAACTGATGTAAAAATTCTATGTATCCATTGTAAATATGATATGAAAATAAATTCAAAAGACAAATCGATTTTGTTGTAAATTAAAAGTTAGAACAATAAATTATAACCAGAATTAAGATTAGAAATACTAAATTTTATGAGCATGAAAGATTAAAATAATTGAGAATCAGGGTCATTCTTCCTACTGGACATGAAACTGATGTAGCCATTAATCTTTTCTGAATGCTTTTCTCTGTTCTTTTTTAAAATCTAAATGTTAGTCTAGAAACATTTCAAATAGACCCTGGTACAAGTTTACCCTCTAAACCAAAAAACAACAGCTTTCTCTACCTGGGAGATCTTATAACAAACAATTTTGAGTAATAGTGGCATTTATTTGATATGCAGAGGTTTTTAGACTTGGCAGCTATCAGCATAGTTTTTTTTTTACCCATGAAAATTACTTTCTTTTTTGAGAGACTTTACCGAGGGATTATTATAGCACCTTAACGCCACCCATCGGCATATTTCTAGAACAGAGTCGGTATTGTATAATCACCTTCAATTATATGCAGACACCTTTAAAGTAATGAAATGTCTTAAAATATTCTTTTTCATGAACTTTTAACAAACCTTAAGAAAATGAATGTGTTAAAACACCAGAGGGATTTCAAAAGAGAAATATGATGTATTTATGACTGCAAGAAGGCAATCCTCATTTTTCTGGACGTTCATTATCTATCACTTCGTGAATTTTTTCATAATGAACATGAACTCCTTTGAAAAAAAAATTACCAACAAGGACACATTACAGGAAGCCTAATATACCTGCACCATCTACTGACTGATTTTGACAACAATCTTGGAGATCTTCCTCAGACCAATGGCTTGTTGTAAATTAGCAACTGACCACCTGGCATGCAGACATTAAAAAGTTATTCTACTTCCAAAACTCAAAACTAAAAAAAAAAACAGTAGATAGAATACACCTAAACTCTGACAAAGTTTGAACTGGGGCTACCCTTTAAGAGGTCTTGTAAGTGATATCATCTGATTATAATCAAAACTTGCTCACTACTATGGTTACATACATTAAGCAATAATGACTGCCAATTGGAATTTGATTGCATCATGATACACCATTTAAAGAAAGGAAAGATTTTTTTTAAGTTTTGAGTCTCTTCAATTAAAAGAATTCTATGCCTGCTTAGAAAATATCCTGTCAGTAAGGGCAAAAAATATACCATCAGAAGACAGGAGAGAAACAATAATAACACTGCCCTTTGACTGCTGAATTTTCGTGATCACAAGAAATAACAGGCCTGGGTCAGACTGTTTTGGTGACAGTGTTAATATATCACCTGGTACAAACAAAACCGTTGACTGTGCCTCCGTAACTCTATATATCAGGTCTTATAGGACAATTTGGGTGAGCCCAGTAATTCTATAGTTCTGTAAGACTAGGAGGATGAGAACAGCAACAAAATAGTTATTCCTCCACAAAATTAGGCAATGACTTTTCTTTGTTGCTTAAAATTAAGTTTAAAATTTTTGGCATGAAGAGTTTTGTTGAAAAACAGGGGAAAGTTTTCCAGAGACCTATTCAATGGTGTGTAATAGGATTCCACGACATTGAACAAATTGTTACATACCTGTGATTTGAGTCAATGGTTTTTTTAACACTTGTACCACAGAGTATGAATTTAGCAGCCAATCACCTTGCTTGGCTGAACTTAGCAATGAATGATGGACTTTTGTTTTCAAAGAAATTCTCCCCTGTTTAAGGTCTGACAACACGTTCCTCAAATATCTGTTTTGTTTCTCCTTGTAATATACAAGAAATATTCATATAAATATTATCTTGTGGTTTCTAAACCGTTTTCAAAATGTCTTTGAAAATGAACACAACAAATATTGTGATATTGACAATTCAAGAGATTTCAAATAGGATTATATAGGAAACACCACCCTCTGGTATCTTGCACAAATGCCTGGTAAGGTACCTCAATTTTTTGTGAGGAAACTTCTTAAAGTAGCAGATCTTCAGTGACAAATTCTTGGGGAAAAATATTTATTATTGAGGATCGTGTCGTCTGACCTTAAATACAACACTCTATCACAGTGCTTCTAGTATTCTTAAGCCAACTACAGGCTATCTGTCAATGTTAAGGAACTACTAGTCTAGTAATTAACAAAATCATACTGCTGAGTTCTCTTATTTGTTGGTATCTAACTAGCTATCATCTTCTCCTTCATAATTTACCATTTTGAACTCAAAGAAACACAAACAGAGGAGTTTGACAGATGGATGTACATGGACATCTGCTGCAGGAAGATTGGAGACCAAGAAATGATAGCTAATGTCACTAATTAGATTGTGTCTGAAAGAAAAAAAAACTGTATCCATGGCTCCTTTGTCTCCTTGGATCAATAAGAACCCATAAACCCAGACAGACCATCCTATAGTGGCCCCTTTGTACTGTTTTATAATCTGGTTCATCCACTGTCATCTTTGAAGTTCATAAAGAAAGCACAAGTCAAATATCAAATACAACTAGCTTTACATCAAAATGTCATATATATATATACATATATATATATATATATATATATATATATATATATATATATATATATATATATATATATAAAATTTACCTCATATCTCATATTTGGTCTACGTATAGGCTGTGAATTTCTTATTGCAATATAACTGTATTGTGTATTGCAATATTTTCAATGACAGTTAAAATGATCTTTTCTTATTTTATTAACCTCCATTTATAAGCAGACTGTATATAACTACTATAAATACATTGTAACAAAAAAGTTCTTGTTGATTTCACTACAGTTTTGCAATGAAATGCAACCATGTAACAGCAACCTTACTGTTTGGCACGA